TCAAAGGAAACATTTGTTTATTGATTTCTTTTTGGGAGGTCATTGTGCTTACCCTGAGGAAGTCAATCAAGAAATATCTTATTAAGCATATATTGTATGACAGCCCTTGTATTAAACTCTGGAGATGGATAGATAGAAAAAGCATTTATTAAACATTTACTATGTGTCAGACACAATTCTAACCTCTGGGGGGAGAGAGAGAGAGACAGACAGACAGAAAGAAATAGAGCAATTTATTGAACAGTATGTACTAGAACATATTTTAAGCTCTGAGGATGGGGGAGGGAGGGAAAGAGAAAGGGAGAAGGAGCTAAATCAATGGGTGAATACAGCATTTATTAAATGCCCACTACACTAAATACTAGAACCACAAATACAAGCAAATAAGACTTTTCCTGCCTTCAAATAGGTCAGTAATTTTTTTTAAAAAAGACCTCATATATGTCAAAATATTGATAGCAGTACTTTTTGTAGTAGCAAAAAGTGTGAAACAAATTATATACCTGTCCTGATCACCAGCTATAGGTTATTGTGGTACATAAATGAAATGGAATATTACCGTTTTGTAAGAAAATGTGAATATGATGATGAATACAGAGAAGTAGGGGAAGACATATGCACACACATATGTGCCAAGTAAAGTAAGCAGAACTGGGAAAATATACAATGACTTTGTTATTGTTCAGTCATTTCAGTTTTGTCCCACTCTTCATGACTCCTTTTGGAGTTTTCTTGGAAAAGATACTGAAGTGGTTTGCCATTTCCTTCTCCAGATCATCTGACAGATGAGGAAAGTGAGGCAAACAGAGTTAAGTGACTTGCTTAGAGTCACACAGTCAGTAAATGTCTGAGGCAGGATTTGAACTCAGATCTTCCTGACTGCAGGCACAGAACAATATCCATTGGGCCACCTAGCTGCCTAGAGTCAGGAAGATCTGAGTTCAAATCCAGTGTCAGACACTTGCTGGCTATGTGACCTTGAGGAAGTCACTTAACCCTGTTTGTCTCACTTTCCTCATCTGTCAGATGAGCTGGAAAAGGAAATGGCAAGCCACTCCAGTATTTTTAACAAACAAAAAAAAAGACCCGAAAGGGGTCATGAAGAATTGGACACAACTCAAAAGCAGTTAAACAACAACAGTAACTTCCTGACTCCAGTCCTAGCACTCTGTCCACTGCCCACCTAGCTGCCCCATATGTACAATGCTTACAATAATGTAAGTAGAAAAGGTAACATCAAAAAAAATCAAAACTCAATTCACTGAAATTATAATGGCCAAGGATGGCCCTAAAGAAGAGATATAAAATTATATCACCCTCCCTTCTTTGTGTGTATGTGGAGGTAGAGGGATAGAGGGGACATTGTGGGCAGGCAGAAATTTATTTTCCTCTTTTTTATTCTATGTTATAAGCAGATTGCTCTTGGGTAGGTGGCAGGTAAAGGCATTTATTAGGTATTTAAAGTTATATAAAAACAAAAGATATCAATTTTTTTTTCTTGTAAGAGGAAGGGTAATTGTTGAAAACTTCAGTGACAGGAATTGAGTCAGAGGCTAACAGAGGCTCCCAAAGTGGGTGATACCACTCCTTTGGGGCACTAGACCAATGGAGGGGGAAGGGGTAAAAGCCTTAGGTGTAATTAGGGGGCATTGAATAAAAATAAGGGGGCAGTGGAAGCATAAGGAAAAAAGAGAAAAAGAAAATTTTGAAAAAGCATTTGTACATATTTCATCTGTTATGTAACAGAGTTAAAGTTGTAGTGATTACCTTATTTTCCAAATAAACACACAAAATGCAAGTTACAACTGATCACTGGTCAAGTCCACCAACAGGTCTTAACAAGCAAATGTTGGCAGATCAGTGTGTCATGCATTGTTGGGAAGTCCAGCATGCATCGGCAGGAATGTGTGGGTGTAATGACTTGTTTACAATATTATACTATATGGTTACGCAATGCAATATTGTGTCATCAAAATTTCAATGCAGGAAAAAACCTACAAATATACAATAAATTATTAAATTTAAGATGTATCATTTTGAGATATATATGTGTGTGTGGACATATACATATATGTATGTTTTCAAATGACACAAATTTTTTAAAAAACATTAAAAGGTTTAAAAAAAAGTAGATTTTTGAGGAGAGGATTCTGGGAAGATGGCGAAGGAGGTCAAAAAATTCCAAGCTCTCAAGATTTTTCTCCACAAAAAAAGATAAAACAGTGCCTCAAGGCAAACATAGAATAGTAAAAATCAATAAGAGAAAGGGCAGAAAAGGGATCCTAAGGAAGAAAATGACTCCTTGAAAATCAGAATTGGGCAAGGGGAAGCCAGTGAAAGTATAGGAGATCAATAAATAATTAAAATATAAAGAATGAAAAAATAGAAGAGAATGTGAAACACCTCATAAGAAAATGACTGATCTGGAGAACAGATCAAGAAGAGAAAACATAAGAATAATTGGACTACTTGAAAGCTATGATCAAAAAAAAATCTTGATACAATAATGCAAGAAATAATTAAAGAAAATTGTCCTGAAGCATTAGAACAAGAGAGTAAAGTAGAAATAGAAAAAATCCACCAATCACCGCCTGAAAGAGATCCTACAAGGAAAACCCATGGGAATATTATAGTCGAATTCTGAAACCCCCAGCTCAAAGATAAAATATTACAAGCAACAAGAAAAAAAACAATTTGCGTATGGTGGTGCCACAATTAGAATCACACAAGACCTAGCAGTGGCAACACCAAAAGACTGCAGGTCTTGAAACACTATATATCAAAGAGCAAAAGAACTGGGCTTCCAGTTGAAAATATCATACCCAGCAAAGCTAAGCATAATTCTGAATTAAAAAAATATTTTTTTAAAAAGGACATTTAATGAATTGTCAGCCTTTAAGGACTTTGTTTAAAAAAAACAACAAAGGACCTGAACTTAATAGAAGATTAGAGATACAAGAGCCAAGAGAAACATAAGGTACATACCAAAGACCAATTACAAGGGACTCAATAAGGGCAGATGCCTTAGCTTTTGTCTATGAAAAATGTAAAATGTATATATAAGATTGTTATTAGTAATGGGTAGTTCATAAGAAAGAGTGGGGTAGACCTGAACATGATAGGACTTCAAAAAGTAAAACCATTCAGGAACAGCTAAAAAGAGTAAATATCTTATACAAATGAGGTGCAAGAGGAAGGACTGATACAGAGGAATTAGATGGGAAAGGAGGGCTATTAGTTCTGGAAACCTACTTTCATCGGAAATGAGTATAAGAGGGGAACAATACATATACATCTAGAAGAGTATAAAAGTCTTCTAAATTTAGAAAGAAATAAAATATTAAAGGGATAGGGAGGAGGGAGAGGATAAGGGAGAGATCTTTAGAGGAGAGAATGAGGGAATAGGTTAAAGGGGGGATATGGAAAAGTGTTTAGATTAATGGGAATGGGAGGATAAGGTGAGAGGGATCCATGGAGGGGGAGTAGGTTAAGTAATAAGAGGGCAAGGTAGTGAGTAGAAATAAAGTAGAGGAGTCAGGAAGCATAGGAAATAAGAGATATGCACAAACATAAAAATAAAGATTAGGAGTAGAATCTGTTAGGGAAAGCATATATTTATGTATACATATGTGCATATATGTATACCTGTATGTATATATCGATATCTATATAATTATAATCATGCTTGATTGTACCCTGGTGGGGTGTGAGAGGAAGGGAGAAAAAAGAACAAAGTAAAAAGTGTACAGCAGATAACAAAAAAAAAACCTAAAGAAAGCAAAAAAAAAAAAGTTGGGCCGCTCTCAACACAGCATGTAGTATTTAATATATGGGCTTTATTTTAATGGAAATTTGTTTCAATATATTTTGAATCCTCTCTTACGTTCTGCTGAGCGCATGACATTTGTTTCTTTTCTTGTTTTATATCTAAGTTTTAATATATAAATTAATAATGTTTCTTTTATTATGTATTAAAGTTTTAATAATTTTTTTTTAAAAAAATGCTGAGTCTTCAAAAAAAGAAAAGGAAAGGAAAGGAAAAGAAAGTGCATTTCCAGGTGGGTGCTGAGTAATTTTTTTTTTTGAAAAGTGGGTGGTAGACCAAATAAGTTTGGGAACCTCTGGGCTAGAGCCTGACACTTAGATTGCAAATACTTGAAGATTACTATCATACCACAAATCTCTTTTCCGGGTTAAAAATCCCTAGTTCTTTCAATGAACCTTTACATGTCATTGTCTGAAGGCTCCTCACCAACTTGATTGGCCTTCTCTGTATATTCTCTAACTTGTCAGTGCCATCCTTAAAAAGTATTGTCCAGAAAAACATGTTGCTCCAGAGATGCTCTGACCAGGATAGAGTACATACAATAAGATTATCACTTCCCTGTTCTGTATACTATGTATGTGTTAATGCAGCTTTAATGAGCTTGCAGTTCAAAAAGAAAATTCCCAAAACAAAAACCAAATTTTTTTCACACAAGATATTATCTAGCCATACTTCTTGCATCTTGTACTTTGGAAATAGATTTTTTGGACTGTAATATGGGCCTTTACATTTAACTGTCCACTAAGTTTTAGCTTGTTAGATTTGGATTATTATTCCATCCTGTTGAATAGGTCACTTTCAGAGATCTGTAGGATTCTTAGTTATTTTGGAAAATTGCATGCATACCAAAATAAAATCCCCACACTCACAGTAAGTGGCTTAAAGCCTGCTAAAGCCTATGGGCTGACCTTCTTTGGGAGTCCTCTAAACCCAGAAAATGTTTCTTCAAGACCAACTATGAGTGTTAAAATAGTAACAATAATTACAAAAGAATTTAAATTTATCTGAAGGCTGAATGTTAGTATATGGCAATAGCAACAATTACAAGTCATATTACTTTAGCTTTGAGATTTCCTTACAACACTATGAGGTAGATGGTACAAATGTTAATCACCTCCATTTTATGAATAAGGAGTTGGAAAAAAGTTAATTGCAGAAAGGTTAAATGACTTACCCCAGGGTCAGATGGGGGATGTAGCATGGCATGGTAGAAGAAAAACTGGGTTTGTAGTCAAAAGTCCTGGATTGTTCATATTCTAATTCTGATACTTAATATTTTTGTACTCTTGAAAAAGTCTCTGGAATCATCAGATCAGGTCCCTCTGACTTTCAAATTCACTAAAATAGGAATAATACTATCTTTATTACCACTTTTACATGCTTATTCAGGGAAAGTTCTTTGTAACCTTCTAAATGATATACAAATATAATTATATAGAAAGTAAGGTTAAAATATTGAAGTGGAACTCACAACCAAGTGTTCTGACTTGCATAATAGTTCTTCATATATATATATATATACATATATATATATATATATATACATATATATATATATATATATATATATGTATATATGTTTTGTATTAAAATGTAGCATTATCTTCTGGGCTTTGTTTTCTAATTCTTGCCTCTGCAGAAAGGGTATGGTTAAAGGAAAAGTGCTCCATTTTATACAAAGGTAAATGAAGTCTCACGGTTCTCTTTTTAACATAGTCCTTATTTAAACATTTGCATTTTAAAGCATCTTGACTGAATATGACACTGACGTGCTGACATTTTGATAGCTGTCACTGCATGGTATAGTTCCAGCATTTTTCAACACATTCACAAGCTTCAACCTTTATATGTTGGGGCTCCTCCAACAACAACTATACCCATAGAATGAAGAAATGCTACTCATGGAAACATTATCTAACTTCAAGACTAATGTCAGAAGCCTTTTACGACAATTGTGTATTTAACTGTTAAGATGTCAGGGAGATTTTGCTTTTATTTATTTTTTCAGATAAAATTGAATTGGGGAAAGCGTAACCATGGCCTACAAACCCAAACACATTATAAAATTTCTTTTTTAACCGTAATGTTGGAGAAAATAAAAACTTGTCCCAAATTCTTTATGTAAGACCTCATTTTGTTTCAGTGCACAGATTATAGAACAACCAGATATTCAGTATATGAAAAGAGAACATAATGCTCTTCTCCAGGTCAACCCATGACTTTGTCATTTCTTATGATAATTGCATTGAGGGTCACATCCCTGTATGTGCAGTTATAGCCCAAAGAAGCATAGTCATCAGTCTATCTGTCTAGGCTTACTCATTAGCTAAGTAGGCTAGAATGGGTTTGGTCATTTTGGTCATGTTTACTCTTATCTTCATCCTTAGTAAGCTGCTTTCAAAAGAGCATTTCCCAAATGGCCACTTACTCTGTATGATCTGTTAAGTCATCAATTGACTTTACTGGGAGAATTGAGGGAATCAAAATATCATGCACACATCTATGGGCCAGTGGTAGAGACAAAGGCATGTATTCTGTAGAGACAGCTCCACACAAAAATGCATAGTTTTGAAAAATTTCATGACTTGACACAATTAGGAAGTTGAAGTACAAACATCACTTCTACATTTGTCAGTTTTGTCTTCAAATATAGATCTAATTTGTGTCTCTTTGAAGAAGTATATATATTTATACATAATTTGTCTAGTAATTATAGAGGGAAAAGGAAAGGTATCCTGATTTTCTGTTCAATTTAGCAAAGATTTACTGAGTATCTATAATATGCAAAGTACTATACCGAAAGATGAAAGGACACAAAAGAACTGTGAGGCAGACATACATAACCACTCCTTTGGATTCTGGTGGTACTCCGTACTTCTCATGGGGACTTTTTCTGTAGTGACAAAGCAGTTACTTTATAACACACTGATGTCATAGCAAATACTCTTTCTGTCTGTCCTGTGAAGTAGGTGTTAAGCAGAAAATTTGTAGTAAGGCAGACCTAGAAAGAGCTATGGAGAATGGTGAAAAAATCAGAACATCAAGCTGGGTGGGGTCAAGGGCTACAAGTATGCCATTGTGACCTTGTTTTATTCTCATTATTCAGTTGAGGAAACTGATGCCTGTGAACTTTGCCCTTCTCCCTCTCCTAATTTTTTTTTCTTAAGTAATTTGATTTAAAGGTACTGAGTAACTATTATCAGACCTAGGTTTTAAAACTTTGGCATTCCTATGTCTTAGTCTTCTTCTCGGTTTATTGGAGTATACTAATTTCAGTTTCAAAAGATCTATTGTATTGTAGTTATTTATGTATCTTATTTCCCCCACTAGTGTGTAAACTCTTAGGGAACAGTCACTGAGTGGGAAACTTTTTCTATTTCTATTCCTGATCATAAGAAAATGGAATGTTTTAGCTTTCTGTACTTTACTCCTAGAGACCAAGGAACATAGAGATGAAGAGTCATCCTCTCAAGGGTGACATCTGGTCATTTGATAATCAAGTCATGAATATCCAGTGTTGTGGAAAAATCTGTACAAATAGAGCAAGGCAATTCTGCACGTAGATTCAGTATTTGGTATTCCCCTCTATTTGGTTTAGTACTGTCAAACATTATTTAGCTAGAGGTAACCCTGCTACTGGAGTTTTTCCTAGCCTTAAATAGGCCACTTTCTGGATAGTCTAAGTAATAGAAGTGAAGATAGAAATCCAGGGCGTCTAAGGACATAAGGCCACAAAGCCCATCAAGGTCCCTGTCATGTTCAGCACTAACAGATATTTATCCTACAATATTTTTTTCTTGGTGGTTCTCCAATACATTTTAAAATCATTTATTCTAATTATTCCATTTTTCTGTTTTTATTTAAATCTCACACTACTGCCCTCCCCCATACATTAAGAGCTATTCCTGCAAAGAAATTCTGCCCAGCTGCTTTCTGGAATAGGCCTTTCCATAGCTCTAACTAGGGTCCCTTTGTTCTTGTATTTGAGGAAAGTACAGATTGCTTTATTTCATTTATCCAAGCTGTGAAATGTAAAAGCAATACATTTTTAAATCTTTTTTACATTTCCCCCCCAAAATAATTGATGACTCTAACTTTAAGTAAAAGAAATAATGTTGCATCCCCTTGTTTGTCTAGGTTCAGTTCAGTAATTTTCAAGATTTAGCATAATAAATTTCATGAATTTTAGTCTCTATTAAATCAATTTATGATCGTTCACATTGAATTTTATCTTTGGTCTATTAATGAAGAGGCTGATATTTTTCTTTCCACCATATATGAAAAAAAGTTTTTGAAGGTAAATATGTAAAAAGATAAAATTTTAAGTAGAATGTTTAAGCTCCTTAAGAAACAATGATTTTAAACCACCTCAAGCAATTCAAAACATGTTTAATTGCAAATAATTGATGTACTGATTACAAATCATTTGTAACTTGTTAAAGCAATTTCTCTAAACCCTTTTTTATATAACTTTATGAATCCCTCTCAGACACTCCCTTTAGAAAATGGAAGGGTCTCAAAATACTTACTGCAACTTGTCAGGGTCCACCAACTACTGTATGTTAGGGATATAGCCGTCACTGACCCTGTGACACAGAGTTGTCATCAACACTGAAACATTGGTATAACTCTTCACTTAAGATCTCAACCCTTTTCTACATAGCCCATTAAACTTTTCTTTCCAAAGACGCTGACAGTACAGAGGAAACACAAATACAGCCCCCTCCCACACACACACATACACACACACGTGCGCTCACTCACACAGAAAGCCACCCAGCTACCCAGACTTCCCAAAGCTATATAGATTTTACCACGTTCTCATGCTTTCCTCACTGTCAAGAAACTCGGCACTACAACCAGTATTTAATAGCCATTTTAAGAAATACCAGCTAAGATCTCTGGGCTCTATGTTAAAAAAAAATGCTATCTATAGACATCCTGAAAATGGAAGAGATGTTGACACTCTCACTAGGGCTTTTGACAGGAGCAGCTGCCTTCCTGCTCTCCCAGTTCAGCTGCCATGCCTTTTGGTAGCATTACTGGTCACTGAATCTAAATTATAGATTCATCACAAGTTTACTTCTAAAGTGTGGCTGACTGAATATACTACTCCAAGCACAGCTACAATGCATGAAATACCAAAGGGACTAGAAAACAGAGAACAAACACATCTTTGGCTGCTTTCCCAGAGAATCAGGACACAGGCATAATACACGTAAGACACTTGTGGGGGGAGGGAGGATGGGGGATATCCTAGTCACAAAGGCTACTTCGGCCTTGCTTTTTTTATTCTTTGATGGAGTTTATTCTCTTTTGCTCCTAAGATGGAAAGGGTTAAGAATAAAAGAGTCTTGTGACAAATCACAAAATATACCCATAAATGGAGGCATGCTTTCCCTTCTTAAATATATTAACAGAACATTATGACCATACAATGTCCCTAAGTGCTTTCCTCTACCTGTATGTTTCAGTTGAATCATCTACATTCCCATGATAATAGGTAATACACAATACTTTGCTAGCCTACAGCTCTATGCTTCAGTGAAAGTTAACTGCTCTAAATATGCTTTTTATTTTCCCACTTCTGTATAGTTGTTTATCCCTGTAACTAGAGATTCTGTAACTAGAATGTTTTCTGCCTCCCATCTCTGCCTTTTTAGGTGGCGTAGTAGATAGAGGACTAAATCTGGTTTCAGGAAGACCTGAGTTCAAATGTGGCCTCTGATGTTTACTGTGTTATCCTGTGCAAGTCGCTTAATCTGTCTGTCTCAGTTTCCTGATCTGTAAAATGGGAATAATAATAGCACCTATCTCAGGGTTGTTGTGAGAATCAGATGAAATTGAAGTGCTGTATAAATGCTATCATCATCATCATCATCATCATCATCATCACCATCATCATCATCATCACCATCACCATCACCACCTACCCAGTCAGAGCCCAGTATAATAAGCCTTCCCTGATCCCCCTGAGTCAAAAGTAATTTGTGCCATTTGATCTCAGCACTTTTTACTTTATGCAATTATTGTATTCCAATTTGTTATATCTAGGAGTGCAATATAACATTTGCACCTCTCCCCCACCCCACCCTCTTATAATTCATCAGCTACATGATGGTGAAACCGGTCTTATTTATTTTTTTTGTATCTCCCCTCAGCTTAGCCATAAATGTGGATTAAATGAACTAAAATTATATATCAAATGAATTTTCAAGGTATTCCTACACCAAAAGACTCTAAAGACTGAATTATAGTGCTGTTATTTATTTTATCAGAAAGAGCTAGAATTAATAGTATACTCTTTTTTTTGGGGGGGGGGGACTAAGCATTGAGGTTAAGTGACTTGCCTAAAGTCACACAGCTAGTAAGTGTTATGTGTCTGAGGCCAGAATTGAACTTAGGTCCTCCTGACTAGGGCCAAGTTCTCTATCCACTGCACCACCGAGCTGCCCCCAAAGGTACAATGGTTCTTCTTTTTTTTTTTTTTTGGCGAGCCAGTGGGGTGAAGGAACTTGCTCAGGGTCACACAGCTAGTAAATGCCAAATGTCTGAGGCCAGATTTGAACTCAGGTCTTCCTGAATCCAGGGCCAGTGCTCTATCCACTGTGCCATCTAGCTGCCCCCAGTAGTATACTCTTTAGATAAAACATATTCATTCTTTTTTTAACATATAGCTTTTTTATTTCAAATTAAAAACTCTCCCCACAATCGATTTAATTCAATATATTATATATTTATAATATGTTATATGTAATAATATATGATTATATAATATTGTATATATAATATATATTTAATTCAGCATATATTAACAATTCTTTGCAAGGTCCAGTTTGCACAGGGACTGGTGGACAGTAAGTTACATATTTGATATTTTTCTAAGTAGGGAGAGATAATAGCTTGGTCTTCCATTTCTAGAAACTATCTAGTGTCTTGGAATCATGAGAACTTACCAGGCTCATCTCATATAGGTAGGGCAACTTTCATCCCATCCAAGACATTAAATTTTAAGTCTCTTACTTCTCATCACATTTTTCTCCTGGTCAGTGTCTTTCATTATATAAAGATGAATATATTATTCTTTAACACATGTTTTGCATGGTAAATATGGGCTGTTTTTAATGCTCATTCCAGTATTCATCATAAACTAAAGCTTGGTACATGCCAAGGGAAGAGTTATTTGCCTTCTGTTTCACTTGTCACAAAGTAATCTGGCAGGGGTTCACTCCTCTGGGATCTGAGCGGTTCCCTAGCATGATCTCTCCATTCCCCTACCTTGACTTCTGTTTAGGGGGCCGTATTAGCTCTTATCAGAGAGTTAGCAATAGCATTGAGATGCTCATACCTGCTCTTCATATATCCTGACTTGCTGGCCAAGAAGAATATTCTAAAATTGTGCTTCCAGAAGATGGTTTGAGACATATTTTTTGGTAATGTTGTTATTACCTTTCTAAACTTGTTTCAACCTACCTGTATAAGTCCTAGTATCATTACCTAGAGTCAGATAGTCTGTTTCTAGTCTCAGCTCTGCTATTTACTAGCTATATGACAGTGGGCAACCTCTTCCTCGTTCAATAGGATTATTAATACTTATTCTGCTTCCCTTCCAGGATTATTTTGAGACTCAAACAAAATAATATATTTAAATTATTGTTAATTCTATATCAGTATATGATTATAAATCAGTATGTCAGCTATTTCTATTATTGTTGAAATTCGGAGCAATACATTTTATAATTAGATATTTACCTAGTCGATCAACAAGCAAGTCAAGTCAACAGGAATTTATTATGTACTTACTATAGTGACAGGCACTGTGCTAAGTCCTTGGGATACAAAGAAAGGCAAAAATAGCCCTTGCCCTCCAGGAACTCACAGTCTAATGAAGTTTATAACATGCAAACAACTATATACATATATATATATATATATATATATATATATATATATATATGTATATATAT